CATCAGGCTCTCCGTGGGGCATCTCCCCACCCCACCCACCAGACAACTCTCTTCTCCCCCGTGGCTTCAGCCCTGACCCCAAGACAACCCCGCCCCTGTGGCTTCAGCCCTGACTGGTCCCCAGGTGCAGAGCCAACATCCGGTCACCTGGCCACCCCCTCCTGAGAGTCCCCAAGCACTTCCTCAGCACGGCATGTTCTGCCCTGCTGGTCCCTCCTCTCCCCTGGCCCCCCACAGCAGGTATGGATGAAGGCATCTCTGTGCAGTGACACTGCCCCTCAAAGTCCCTGAGGGTACAGGAGGGGGCAGGGCCAACTCAGTCCTCAGTGGAACTTAAGTTTGGGGGAAGATGATGATTAACCATCAGTGGCACTGTGGGGCCCAGGGACGGGAAGGCTTCCCAGGGAAGGGACCACAGAGCACCAGCCACACGGGGCCAGGGACAGGGAAGGCTTCCCAGGGGAGGGACCACAAAGCGGAGGCCACACAGGGAGTAGGGATGGTGACAGGTAAAGTTTCCCAGGGATCACAGAGCACAGGCCACACGGGGACAGGGACAGGGAAGGCTTCCCAGGGGAGGGACCACAGAGCACAGGCCACACAGGGAACAAGGATGGGGACAGGGAGGGCTTCCCAGAGGAGGGACCATGGAGCAGAGGCCACATGTGGACAGGAAAGGCTTCCCAGTGGAGTGACCACGGAGTACAGGCCACATGAGGATCAGGGACAGGGACAGGGAAGGCTTCCCAGAAAGAGACCACAGAGCAGAGGCCACATGGGGAGCAGGGATGGTGACAGGTAAAGCTCCCCAGGGACCATGGAGCAGAGGCCACACGAGGACAGGGACAAGGACAAGGACGGCTTCCCAAGGGAGGGACCACAGAGCATGGGCCACACGGGTACAGGGACAGGGAAGACATCCCAGCCGAGAGACCACAGAGCACAGGCCACACAGGGAGCATGGACAGGGACAGGGAAGGTATCCCAGGGGAGGGACCACTGAGCAGAGGCCACATGGGAAGCAGCATCAGGACAAGAGTTGGGAGACTCAGCTGCACCATCGCTTCTGAAAGGAGCCAGCCCACCCTCGGCCTCTTTTTAGTCAAATATGTGCTTTTGGCCCTCACGTTGTTTGTGCTCTCTGTATTCTCCTGAACCCTGGCGGATGGGGCGTGTGTGAACGCTTCCTCTGTCCTGTGGGGGCCTCTTCTGCTGGGTAGAAGATTTTCAGCTCCATGCCATCCCCCTCTCTGTCTTTGCCTGTGTGGCCTGTACTTTTGAGGTCACTGCCAGACGGTCCAAAGAAAGGACACCAGCGTTCCGAGAGTCATCTGACCCTGTGCTCACTGCCGCCCTACTAACAAGGGCTGGCCGAGGGACCGGCCAGCTGTCCCCCCGCGGAGGGTGGATGCGCACACACAGCAATGCGGCGCGTGGCATCTAAGGAAAGGGTCCTGCCATTTGCAGCAACATGGGTGGAACCAGAAGTCATTATGTCAAATGACGGCCGAGACCTACACAGCCGCTCCAAGGGCAAACTCAGGCCTGGCGTCCCGTCTCCTGGCGCTAAGGGCCACACACCTCCCACCCCTGCCAGGAGACAGGCCGTCCATCCTCTACCCAGCATGTACTCTTGACCAAGGGACAGCATCAGCCCTCAAGAAGTCAGCCACCCGCCTCAATGCGGAGGCCAAGCTCGGGCCTGTCTCCAGAGCACTCCGAGCCCTTCCTGGGCCAGGGCCTCCCGGACAGCAGCTAGTAGCACACAGAGGGCTGGAGGGCTGGAAGAGCAGGGACGCCAGGCTGGAAGGGCATGGAGGCCGGGCCGGAAGGGCATAGAGGCCAGGATGAAAGGATATGAAGGCCAGGCTGGAAGGGCATGGAAGCCAGGATGGAACAGCACAGAGGCTGAGCTGGGAGGGCACGGAGGCCAGGCTGGAAGAGCATAGAGACCGGGCTGGGAGGGCATAGAGGCCAGGCTGGGAGGGCACAAAGGCCGGGCTGGAAGGACACCGCACTGGGTGGCATCTCCCAGGCAGAGCCTGGCCCCCGGCAGCATCCAAGGAAGACCCTTCATCCCAGTAAGTACCAGGCCCAGCACTGCCCCCCTAGTGCCCTTACCTGGGGGTGCAGCGTCCCGGGAGCCCATGTCTGGGTGGAGAATGCCCACGAGGGTGCCCAGAGGCAGCAGCTATTCCTGGGGCTCGGGTGCAGTCCTGGGGGCCCAGAGCATTCCAGCCCGTGACATCCAGAGGTCTGTGGGGAGGGGAGAAATCAGTAAAAACAAGAACAAACACGTCTAAGCTGCTTTCCAGAAAGCTGCTGGGAGATGCCACAGTGCTGTCCAGAGGAACCTGCTGCTGAACAAGGGGCCGGTCTGTTCTGACCCCTGGACTCTCGGGCCGTGCCTCTGAGGGAAGCATACACTGTGAAGAGGGTTGCAACATCCATGGTCCTGGCGTCCTCGTCACTTGGACGTGGGCACTTCTCAGGGCTGGGAGGCGGGTTTTCAAGCAGAGTCTGAAACTTGTTTCTATTGTCTGCAAACACCCATCAGCCCACGGTTCCCTGTGGCTCTTGGGGGCCGCTGGCCTCTGGGCCCCACTCACTATGCACCCGGGCAGCCTCCCGCGCGGCCTCCTGGCTATCTCTCAGGGGCCCATCTCTCTCTAGGGATGTCCTGGCCCTGTTCTCCCCTGGTGGGCTGAGCCCCACCTCTGACCCCTCAGCCATTTCCTGGACGCTCAATAGCTCCAAGCCTCTCCCACTTCCCCTCCGCCTTGGGGCCCACCATCAGCTCGTGCCTTGACCTAACTCCGTGTCTTCCATGGGACAGGGTCTCGCTACAGATACCGCATGCCACACGGTTTTATGAATTCTTCACTGAGGCCCTGGCGACCTGTTTTCCCAGCAAGTAGGGAGGCTTGGCCAGAGACAGAGCCCACGCCCCCAGGTCTATTCCGGGTCGAGCAGGACCCTGTCCAGCTCCCTTCTGCTCAGCAGTGTGGGAATGAGAGAGCCCACCTTCCACCTGAAAGCCAGCCCACCCCGACCCCACCTGACCCCAAAGGTTGACACCAAACCCACCAGGCCTCAAAGGCCGACACCAAACCAAGGTACCACCGGCTCAGTAGTCCCGGCCTGGTCTCTTCAGGACCCAAGACTTGGATCTTGGATCTGGGGGAAATTTTCCCACAACCTCCCTGCCTGGTGTAAGGATGTGGCTACCCGCTGGGAAAAGCCACCGCAGCGCTTCCCCCAAGGAGGGCAGGGAAGAGTCCCCGCAGGCGCCAACACCCAGCTGGGAAGAGGCCTGGAGACCGGCCAGGCCGCTGGCAAGGCCAGCAGGACTGCTCTGGGCTGGGCAGTCCCTTCGACGCCAGGCACCAGTGTGGCTGCCTGGGTCTCCAGAAGAGGATGCGCTCGCTGTGAAAAGTGCATGTAGGAAAGTGACCTCCTACCACAGCCCCGTCCTCAGCCTCAGCTGCAGAACAGAACAGCTGGGACCATAAACATGTCAGATCCCAAGGTCCTGCAAGTCCCCACCGGGCCCTCTGGGACACAAGCCACACGGAGCTTTCTTTTTCATTCACATCCAACTGATTCTGATGTTCAAACAGGATTGAAAACCACCAGGCTATGGTTCAGCATCACCTCACAACAAGGTCTCAGTCCTTAAGTTGTCAAAGTGGTGACTGCTGCCTCAGTTTCTGCAAAGCAGTCACTCTCTAGGAGGCTACCTGAGATGTCAGAATGGCCAGCCCCACTGTGGGCCTTCTGAATGAGCCTTCCTGCGGTCAGAGGCCAGCAGGTCCAGGCAGCCTAGGGCCCAGTGTCCTGGGACACCAGCAGCACAGAAATGACCCTGGAGCGCTCCACCGCTTGCCACAGCATCCCACAAGCACAGCTCCTCTAGGTCCTCTCAGGGTCTATACCTTTGACCCTGCAGTCCAGAGGGTCCACAGAGCAGGGTCCCCTCAATGCCCACCCAAGGGGAGGTGGCCACAGTTGCTTATGGACATGCAGTCACGTCTTGTGTGAGTGGCACTTCCCCGTGGAAATCACATGGGCCCGGGGCCCTGTGAGAACTTGATGATCTGTGCCCAAACCACATGTCAAAATCAGGCAAGGCACAGTGGTACACACCTATAATCCTGGCACTTTGGGAGGCCGAGGAGGGAGGATTGCTTGAAGCCAGGAGTTTGAGACTAGCCTGGACAACATAGCAAGACCTTGTCTCTACAAAATTTAGCTGGGCGTGGTGGCGCATGCCTGTGGTCCCAGCTATTGGGGAGGCTGAGGCAGGGGGATCCCCTGAACTCAGGAGGTTGAGACTGCAGTGAGCCATGATTGTGGCACTGCACTCCAGCCTGTGTACAGAGTGAGGCCTCAACTAAAAAAAAAAAAATCCAAAAGTCTACCACAAAGGTGGATAGGGCTCAGGGTTAGTGCAGACACCCTTGAGCACCCAACCCCCAAGGCACTAAGGCCTATTTGAGCCCGGCACTCTCTGGACACCAGGCGTGACTCTCCCCTCAAAGGGTAGTTACCCGACCTGAGGGCTAAGTGAGCCAGTGACCCGGATTCTGCCCTCCCTCCTCCCAGCTCTGGACAGCTCAGCGTAGCCAACCCCTCCCCACATGCCTGTTTCCCAGCCCAGCAGTGGAAGGCCAGGTGGGTGATGGTTGTCCACTCCTTCCATGCCAGCTCTGGCCACACAGGAATGAGGAAAGGGGACAGAGGGGCTCGGCTTCAAGTGGGAAGGACTCAGGGGCCAGGGTCGGCCTCAGCCTCGCACAGCCTGTGCACCCCACCCCACGTCCACTGCTCCCAGGGAGCTGGGCAGAGGCACGTACTGAGAGGGGAGGGCCCGAGGAGGGAGCAGGGATGGAGACTGCAGCAGGGAGGAACATGCTCTGGGCTGCCACACCCACAGCTCCTCCCACAAGATCTGTAGGGAGGGAGCCCAGAGCCCAGGAGCAGTCCAGGGACAACAGCATTGGGACGGGCAGGGCCGCTGGAGCTGGGGACTGGAGGGCCCTGGATGGGCAGCTCTGCACAGACAGGTGTGGGGCCAAGCCGTTGGCTGGAGGTGGTCCCCAGGGCTCATCTGAGAGACTCGTGGGGGTCGTTTCTGTGCACCTGGGGACCTGAGAGGGCCACGGAAAGTTGCCAGGGCTGGGGAGGGGTGAAAGGTCAAGGGGAGATGCAAGCCCAGACGTGTCCGGTCGCGGGTGAGGACGGGGAGGGAGACTGGCAGAGGCGGGCAGGGCGGAGGCAGGCTTGCTGCTGGTTTGGTTCATGCTCTCCGTGTGTTCAAGGGCAGGAGGTATCAGCAATTCACAGGAGGGGGAGGAAGAGCCAGAAGGGAAGGGCAGACACGGCGGCGGGAGTCACTGCAGGGCAGGTGCAGCTCTAACCAGACAGGGAGACGGCAGGACTGGATCAGGGGTCAGGCCTCACCGGGGAAGCCCGAGCACCCTGTGTCCAGCGTCCAGAGAGGCCGTCGTCGCACGACTCATTCTGGGACGGAGTGCGAGCGGCTGCCGGGTGGGACAGCAATTCAGGGGTCGCCAGGGTCCAGACAGCCCCGAGGTGAGTTCCCATCCCAGAAGGGCCACATGGTTGTCCCTTTCCCCAGGTGTCTCCAGCCTTGTTTGCTGGGACGGAGCTGATCTCCACAGTGACCCTGCTCTCCGGGATAGACTCGGCCACCTCGCCCCTGCAGGAGGCTGATGCCCGGGCCCACCAGACACCTCCCAGGCTCCTGGCTATACCTGGGACATGGCCCACAGGAAGGCCCTGCATGGGTGAGACACTACCACAACCACCGTCTGTGCCTGCTCCGGCCGCCCCGCCGGCCTCCCACACCATATCCCCCAGGATAAGACCAGGTGGGTCGACACGTCCACAGTCCTCTGTCCTCCAGATGATGGAGGGCGGGTCCACAAGGGGCGGAGAAGCAGAGAGCACAGACGAAAGACATGCTGTGATTCTGAATCCATCCATTCATTCCTGCCACAGATGTTGACCAAGTTCCCACCATGAGCCTGGCCCTGTGTGGCCCCAGCAAGTTCACAGTACACAGCAGCCATTGAGATAACTGGGCCTGTTCGTTATTAGGAAGGGAATCATCCCTTCCAAAAGGCTTGAAGCAAGACACCACCAGGGCCTGGCAGAGCAGGGGCAAAGGGAGGGGCCACCAGGAGCCGGGTGGCCTTCCACTTCTCAGGTCGTCTGGGTGGGCGGGAGTCAGAGGACAGGCAGGGTCGGGACACTCAGAGCAGCCTGGTGAGAGTCACCTTGCTAGGGGTCGCTGAGAGACCCCTTCCTCCCAGAACAGGCCACCAGGGCCCGTTCACACCTGCCTGAGCAGCACTTCCCAGCCGTCTCTGTGCCAGTTCAGACGAGAATCAGGGCCTCTGTGTGCAGCAGCAGTTTGTGGGCGTGTTTGGGTGGGGAGGGTGGGCGGGATGTGCCCCTCGAGGGGACTTTGTCGAGGCTTTCCTGGGTGTGGCAGACACTCTGATGCTAACCGTGGTTGAAACGGCACTGCCAACACTTTGGGAGAGACATGCATAGCGTCCCCACCGTGGCTGAGCCTCAGGCATCTGTGCAAGCTCACAGATCACGGTTGGAAGATTTGAGCTCCAGCTCTGGGCAAGGGTCCTTTGAGCGGCTTATAGGTCTAAGGCTGCAGCATTGAACACGCCTCCCCACCAAGGGATTTCTGATAGGGAAAGCAATCTCTAAAAGATACGGGGAAGTCTAGGGGTGTTTAAAAATGATGGAGGCGTGTGACAAGTTGGGAAGCCATGTCCGGCTGCCCAGGTTTGGCACTGCACAAGGACAGCGTCCTTAAGAGGATACCATTCACGCTGCAGGCGCCACAGATCCGCACGCGGGTGACATTCTCCTTCCGATGAAAAGAAGCAAGGTGTCTCGGAACAAGGCATCTTTTTCTTATTCATAAAAGGAGCCAGACGAGCAAGGGGTGGCCCTGGTGACAAAGGGCATGAAACACACAAGACTTCGAGATCCCGGATCTTCTGAGCTCACCCCTCCCGCTGGGCACCACACAGATACAGATGTAAGTCAGAGATTCATCAAGACTCGAGCTAGGAATCCAACATCCCAGCACCTGCTCCC